GATAAGCAAACAGCGAGGTACGTCCGCGGTGCATCTTGGGCAATCGTGAACGAACAGATGGACAAAAGAGTCTGGCGACCATAGGAGATGGTAGCAGGGACACTACTGAAGAGGATCGCAGACAGGAGCAAGGTGGAAAAGAGGAGGTTAATGGAAAAAAGTTTGAAAAAGTGGCCGGTGACTGCGGCTAAGCCAAGCACAGGCGCCATCTTGTTACCGACCGGAAGCTTGAGTGATGAGCATGAGTGTGTTTTACTGTCTTTGTAATGTCACCTACTGTGGAAGGAAAACAAGTTCAGCAAAAAAAGGTTCAAATTAATCTTTCATTAATGTTTACAAGGCAATTTTATTTTAAAATATTTATTTTTCTTTAAAAAATAAGAAAAATCTGATCACACCTTGTCTTTCTTGAGCATTTCAACCTTGTGTTTGTCTTTCGAAAGTCTTGAGCGTCACCGACAACTTACTAAACACTGAATATTTCAGTAGTTTCTATTTTTGAACGTGCTGAAGCTAAATTGCTGCTTTATTTTCAGCTTTTCACAAACACTGAAATGTGTTTTCTTTCTTCACTTCCAAAGGTTTTATTAAACACAGCAGAAGAAACCCGCTCAGAAGCTGATTTCACGTCTGCCTGGAGGTTTCCTGATGTCTGTCAAGAGAATAGAAACATTAAAAAGAAGTCGGTCTTCCCAGTTTCACCACTGAACACAATTCATTACTAATTAGCCTTATTTGTGGCGTGGGATTACCGATAATCGTTTTACTGTCCTCTCCTGGGTTTGAATGTGTAAGTCACATCATAAACAGGGCCGTAAAGCTCTTACACTGCTTCACACGTATTCCTCTTCAATTGTGCAGCAACCCTTCTCTTCATCCATCTGTGTGTCTCGTTCCTCCCACATCAGGTCTGCGTCTCAGTCTCTCACCCACACAGACTGATTCCAGCTCTCATCCAGGGAAATAAACAAAGACGGCCGCTTCTCTCTTCAATACAACTCGATTGCATTTCTTCCTCCTTAAGCTGTTTCCAGGCTCATTTTTTTTTACTTTTTTTTTTTGGGAGAATTTATCGTCGGTACATGATATCCATCTTTTGTGTGTGTTTACAGCTCCGGATCCGTTTGCAGGTGTTTGATTGATCATTCGCCGAGGTGTGTGTACTTTGTATGTGTGTTTGTGCACCTATGGTTGTGCAGAATGAATGCGTCAGCTCTAACATTTGGAGGATGACGTGTGTGACCTTCTGAACTCAGTGGTTCTTGTCTTCTTGATGGGACCACATCCTCTCTGATTCGTAAGCAAAGCTTTTATTGTTCAATCAGCTTTTGGATACGGGTGTTTCAACTATTTGGAAAGTGTGTCAGTAAAAGTGATAAATTCTCATTACTGCTGTAGATGCTTCCTTAAGGGTAATCAGTACATTTGTAATAAAGCCCAGACGCACACAGAAGAGTCAGGATTTGGAGTCTTACTTCCTGTTATTCGGACATCTTGCCTCTGATTGGCTAACAGCAACGCGACTCTACCACTGACTCAATTTGCTTTGCAACGCGGATGTTTTATCTCCACAAATAACACAAACCTAAAGGAGTTCTGCCGTGTGGTGGAGTTGCTAATGCTAACAGTTAGGTTCTACTAGCTAGACGTTCTCTGGTGTTTTCTGGACGCTAATCCAACAACAGCCTTCCCCGTCGTGAGTCAAGATGGGTGAGTCCATGAACGTCAAGTGACAGTGTGACGTAGATCTGTGAGGATGTTCTAATCCTAGAGTTTCACCGTCTGCTTTATATCAGGAGATAGATGTAGGAGACTATTTTCATGTTCAGCCTGCATGTTAAACTGACACTTTTTTTCCTGAACCGTATTTGCAGCCATAACAAATGGCTCCATTCAGACAGTCTGGTGTGTTCCTAATTATTTGCACTTTTAGGTTTGTACCTAATTGATTTTGTCAGGCTGGCTGTTTGTTGGGACTCGGTTCATCAGGGTTTGTGCGCCATGGCCGAGCTTAGTGCTCAGCTCCCAGGGACGCTGCCATCAGCACAAGCTTCGGCGCTACATCAGTGCTGTAATCAATCTGGCACCGTGTCCTCGCGGAGAGTCACTCCTCCACCTCCCGGCTTCCTCTGCCACCTCCTCCTCTCCCGCCCAATTTTCTGTGTGCTTTATAACCAGCTAATTATTTGATTGTGACGGAGTAAACTGTTCAGCGTGGAGCAGACAGTGGGTGGGTTCCATCATGCAACATGAAGCTTGTCTGTTTGTTAATGCACTTCCTTGTTTCTCAGTAAGCATTGATCACAAACAGAGTAATGCATTATCTCATCACAATCTGACATGAAATGTTTGGTTATCATGTTTTTCTTCCTTTTTTGATTAATAAAGATATTTTCATGATATTTGGTTTACTAAATCCCAGAAGCCAGTAGCAGGGAACGCGTATCCTATTTCCATGAGTTTTTTTGTGTTGCATTTGGAAATAATTCAGCTCTGCTCTGCACATTTTGAGCAGATTCAAATCAGCCACAAGCCGTGCGAGCTTCCATCTTAGCAGCAAATTTGCTGAAACTGCTGCCACCTGACACACATAGAGAAGCCACCTGCTAATGAAAACAGAAGTCCCCTGCTGCACGTGTAATTAGAAGGTGGGAGATGTTTGAACTTTGGAAAGGACTCAAATGTTCACTGAGGTGGTTTGAGGCAGCTATTATTTGACGTTTGTCACCATCACCCTCAGTCCAGCTGGATACTGATTTTAGCGTTTGTTGTCATCATTTACAACACTTAGCATCAAACCAGCCAACATTACTGGTTTACTCTTTTTACCAGTGTTGTCTGATATTATCTGTTTACCAGTATTATCGGCTGATTTTGGCCTTAAAAATGTAAGATCAGAAAAAACATTTTGGTTTTTCTCCTTTAGTGACCCAACTTTTACATACCATGCACATATTACACACAAAACTCTTTGGCTTCATCTCCTTTCTCTAAAAATGCCAAAATATGACAGATCTGAGGCTTAGTTTTTGAGATATTGTAGTTTTATTTGACACATTTAGTGAACAATTAGGAATTTGTCTTGTGTCGTGAGGGTTTAGGGTTAGCTATGTGTGGCTAGCCAGCAAACAACAAACTAAAACAAACACAAGTATCGTCACCCAAGTCTTTTCTTCACCATCACTACAATATACAGAAACAGGAAAAAATACATTTATGGCTATTGCACACATCTTAGCGTCGCGCTTAGCAAAGAGTCCCTTAGCGTGTGTACGCTCACGCTGCTTGCATTTTATCAATTTATCAACGCTCCCAACATTCCCTAAACACATCGATAGTTACAAAGACAAATGTTCTCCAAGGCACGAACATATAAAGCAAAATCAGCGTGTTCATGATCCGTTTATCCTTTTGTTTTTGCCCAAATGTAAGGCGTAACACCGGGAGAAGAGGAAACGGAAACCACGTCAGTGATAGGTCTGATTAGAGAGCGCTTACCGTAATTTCCAGACTATAGAGCGCACCTCAATATAAGCCGCACCAACAAAAAAAAAGGTTTTCTACACACACGCTGCACTCAAATGCAAGCCGCGGCGCAGCAGCCACATGCAGGTCTCCGGCACACAACGCATGTACGGCCATAACATAAGATAATTAGACAGAAATACGCTACACGGAGGTTATTCGTTGTTGTTTTAATTCAACAAAACTAATTTTAAACACGGGTGAATGTGCCTGCAAGTTTAGAAAAGAAAACAGAGCTGATAGCATTCATATTTCTGGATGGTTATAAAATAAAAACAGCACTGACATGTTATTACCGGTAATTTGCATGTTTAGAAGAAAAGAACAGCGCTGACACAGCATTAATAAGCCCTGGATGATTAGAAAATAAAAACTGTTCACAAAACATGCCTGGTTAGTAAATAAAACACACGCCTACCAGAAGAAGTCATTCGCTCTCCTCCTCCTCTTGCTCACTAAAGCCATTAAAGTCCTCTTCTTCAGTGTCGGAGTTGAACAGCCTCAGAAGAGCTTCGTCACATACCTTTTCTGTCATGAACTCACTCATGTATAATTTTTAAAGCATGATTGGAGATATGTGATGTTAGCAACTTAAGTTTTTTCTTTTTTTATTATGAGCAACCTCGCTCATATTGGTATCGGCAATTAAGAGTTAGACAATATCGGTTAAAAAACCTATATCGAGCAGCCCTATTCTTACCACAAAAAAAGTGTTATCCATCACTTTTACCACAAACCCAATAATAAAGATTTTACCTCATGACCTCCCTGAGTAAAATAACATTTGTGATTTCTACTGATTGAGCGTATGGCACTTCGAATGTTGAGTATAAACAAGGAAGAATCTGTTTAGTTTCGTCCTCCCGAGCTGGTTTCCCTGATCTATATTAAACCCAAACACTCTTTTGGTTTTCTTACATGAAAAACCAGAAACACCCAGTTCTAATCCCTCCTTCTGTTCTACCTGCAGTCTCCCTGGAGAAAAAGCTCATTACAAAAGACTTGGCACCCATGCCACATCCTTCTGTGGCTGCCTTTGTCAGCCATCCCCAGAGGGATTTCCTTACTTGCATGTCAACACTTCACACACAAGTATTTCTCTATGCTCTTCTAGTCCAAAGAGATCGTTCCGAATCTCTGTTTCTGTTAGCATCATCAGCTGCTTCTGGTTAGAAATGAAAGGAATCCGTCATTGAATGTAATCAAACAAGACAAAGCAGCTAAAATAAACCTGATAGTATCAGCATGTTTTCGTGAAATAATGTGTGAAAAGTAGAATGGATTTGTTGTTTCTTGTGGTATTTTGCTATAGTTATTCTTTCAAAGATTGCAATTTGGATCAATGATGATATGTATGTATTGATGTTGGTCAAAGAGTTGTTGCACACCTGGTAAGCAATGATTACCAGGTGTGCAACATGGAACTAGATGTACCTTGTATTGTTCCTTACAGTTTTGTTTTCTCCTCCTTTCAGGTTGAACTTCTCTGTAAGGCCTCATCAGAGATCTCACACGTTGCTGTTATGCATGCTCCCTGGTCATCTGAAGGACAGTCTAATCATTGAGATGATCTTTCACGTCTGGATTATTCTGCAAAAGGGCCTTCATCACGCTTTTCTTGTGGAAGAGGGGCAGAGAAGAAAGTGACTTTCTCTAACTCCATAAATGGCTTCATTCCACGAGCGTTGCTAAAACTAACACCAAACATGAGCCTTCCAACCAGTTTCCATGGACTGAGAGTCAACGTTGACAGGGGAGAAAGGGTCGGCAACAAAACCCAGATGAATTTTACGTCATCCGGTGATGATAACGCTAATCAGATCACTCACCGTGATGGAAGAAGGTTGGTCGAGATCACGGGGTACAGCACAAGCGCCGTTCCTCCTCTGGTCCATCAAAGTGATTCCCCGGAGAAGTTAGTGATCTGGGGCTCAGACCAGCAATGTCTGGAGCAGGACCTCAGGGGGTTTGAATATTTGGAGTGTCAGGAAATACACACATTTTTGGGAAATAGGAACCAGGAAGACGATGAGCAGGAAGAAGATGATGGAGGGAGTATTAAAGAGGGAAAAGATGAAGGTCCCATGTCCATTTCCTCCAGTTCAACTGCCAGCTCTGCGTCGGTTGGTGGAAGAAGGAGTGACAACAGTAACAATGTGGAGAGTAGAATGCAAAATAGCCAAGAGAAGAGGGTTGCCTGTCACAGCACTGATGAGCTAGACAAATTTGTGACAGGCTCGGTGGAGAAAAAGGACACCCAGTCAAGCAGAGGCAGAACGAAGGCCGGTCTGAAGGAGTCCAAGTCCGAGACAAATGTGTTTGTGTCCAGTTTGTCCACTTTTTCCCTCAGTGGAAGTCTGTCTAGTGCTCTGGATTCTAGTGGAGAAGCATGTCTTATGTCTCGGTCAAAACCCAAGACCGATACTCTCAATGCCTACAACACTACCTCAGCCCAGTCCAGCAGAAGGGTAGCCTCTGTAGATGCCAATCGGAATTCCCCGCCAACACATCCTCAAGAGAAACACAACTATTCTCAGTACTGTAGCCAGGAACAGAGACTGGAAGACAGGGGTCATCATAGGACTGGATTATCTTCTGAAGGAGGCCTGGGCCAAAGGAGAAAGGCTGGATTTGAGGAGAAGGTGTTGCCGCCTCGACGGCAGCAACTGGTCAGACCGCTCTGCCAGACGGAGACAGGAAGAGAAAGGAACGCGACGGAATCCAAACATCAGGAAACGGGATCACCATCTCCATCTTCCTTCATGGTCTCTCCAGAGTCACACTGTGATAGGTCAAGCAGAAAGTTTACAAAATCCTCTTTGCGTGAACCGTCAGACTTCTCCCACCTGTACAACACAGCTGATGTGTCCCAGCTAAAGCAGCCAAACCAGGCTCCACAGAGGGAGGCTCCACCTGTGGCAAGGCATCCAGTTACAGCTGCACAGCATGCATCTGCTCCCTCAAACCCGTCCACTCAGGAGAGGAGACCACAGACTCAGCTCACGTACCGAAGGAATTGCTCCAGTCCTATTAGGACTGAATCCAGACCCACCACTCCTCCCCAGTCCCCTCTCAGGACACCCCAGGGCTCACCGCGCAGGCAGCCCTCTATGTACCTCATTTCCAGGAATGTCTCTGGAGCCACTAGACACGTGCAGTCGGGACCCAACCCGGCGATACCAACGTCAGCTCAGGGCTATGGCAACAGTTTCTTGAGAGCACCAGTAAAAACAAACGTAAGCACAAGTGGAATCCCTAAAGCACCTCCGAACACCCAGCAGAGCTCCCCCAATGCTCACCCCAAAGAGAGCTCCCCGTCGCCTAAACTCAAACCTAAAGGAATCCGCCCTAAAATCATAACCTCCGTCAGGAAAAATCCTCAGTTTAAACCCCAGATTGCAGATGGACCTTATCAGGTATCCTCTCTACCCTCCAGGCTCTCGACATACGCCCACAACCAGACTCCCTCGTCCTTCACAGACGCATCTAAAGACTCCTCAAAGCCTGACGGGGAATCTCGGGAAGCCCCGGTACTTAGTGCCTCCAATCTGCTTTATGATAAGTACCGCCAGGAGATGCAGGCAAGCAGTTTCTCAACTGAACAGCAGAACCGGAACATCAGGGCTCCTGGACACACAAACACAGTCCCCCCAGTACATGTGCATAACCACAATGCTCCTCCTAAACTGACCGACAGAGCAGATAACTTCTTTGCGGTCCCATCAGAGGTGAGTTAGACGCACACGCCCAACTTAGAGATACTTTGCAAATTTGTCATATTTTTAAATCATTTTCTTGAGCCAGTATGAGCTAAAATGACCCTTTTACAGGGTAAATGAAATGTCACTCAGACCTCCATCGCCCTCTGTGACCAGAATATTCCTCTTGCAACTTCAGAGTTGCCGGTCCGGTCTGTTGGGACTTGCTTTCGGCTCTGCAAATGGACACTAGGGGGTGCTAAAAGCAAGCCAAAACTGCCTAGTTTCCCTCTGAAGACAATGCAGTTTTACAAATCTTTTAGTGTGAACTCAGTCTGGTCAGTCCATGTTTATCATATTCTGGTGGATCTTAATCAGTAAGCAACAAAATAGTATTCTTTAAACTCTGCAAATCAGTTTTGTTTTCAGCTCATGTTTTTATAATCTTCCATAAATAATTGATTGTAGATGTTTTGCATTTGATTCCCACTTCAGTCAGAGCTGCTCATTATTGCTTCAAAACCATTTCCTGTTCTTGTTAAAATGCACCATTTAGCACTTTTATTCGTATAATGTTAAACACAAACATACAGAAATGCATAATGCCTGCTGGATTGCAAATCTCTCTGCGACCGTGCTTCATCTCATGCATGCAAGCATTTGCAGTGAAGTTGCAAAAATCAACACTGATAGTATGCACGGTTTGGTTTTACAGTTTCTAACTAAACATGAAGACAGAGCCGATGTCTTCCTTATACCAAAAACTCCGTTTACGGTGGTGCTGATTTCTGTGATTCTGATCTGTAGGTTGTGAGGTCTTTTAGTTTTAAAGGAAGCTCTTCTGAGGACGCATCACAGGGACGGACAGCTGTGCAGGTCGGGGGGAGCGGTAGCCTCCTGCGTTCCGCCAGAGGTCTGCGTCTGGGTTTGGGAGCTGTTACCAGGACAACCACGGGCTCAGCCAAGAGCAAAGGGTCTGGTCAAGGACAGAGGTCACCGTTGGTCTTCAGCCAACCCGTCCAACCTGTCAGCCCAGCCACCAACCAAAAAAGCCAAGAAAACACAGGTGAATCATGTTCCTCCTCATGTTTTTGATATTTTTCAAAGCTAGAACTAAAGACGAAGATCGATTCAGCAAACTACATTTTGATTTCCTCTCCTGTGCTGCAGCAAGCAGTTGTGAAACACTCTCAGCTTGGCCTGAGATGAAGGCAGCTCATTAAAAGGCATTCTTTGAGATTCATTTCAGCAGATCTTATTGGATGCTTTTTTTTCTTCTTAGATAAGTCCGAGGGGACATATTCTGCTCCAGAAGGCAGCAATCTACAAACTGAGATAAATAAATTATAGCTCACTCAGATTTTCTCCTTAGCACATTTTTAATTCCAATGATTCAGACTGCAGACCTCAGATTTACGCTCCAGCTGAGCTGTCGATAGAATATTGAAGTATGACATTTTCTCCATCACCCTGCTGGTGCCATTCATCACTCCCATGCATGCTTGATCAGATTCCTCACCCAGACACACAGAGAAAATCCTCAGAAGCATCCACAAGCACAAACACAGAATAAACTTCACACATTTGCCCAAAAATCACAAACAGAATTGATCGGCACACTTTTATGAGGAGAGGCCTTCTGATCATAATCCGTGTTAATACTTGTGCAGGGTGTTTCGGTGCTGCTTGGCCTTCTGGGAACTCTGCAAGCTTTGAAGTGCAAAGCAATTAACACTTAAATGATGTCAGCATCACGCTGCAGGAATCATCTTTGCCTTGTGCACGCTGTGTAGATCAACACCAGCTGGACGCTTTTTGTCTATTGGATGTTGGTCGTGTGATTTTCTGTTTCAGTGTCAGGAATTATCTAAGCTGTAAAATTTAGATGACTAATTTTTAGAGGTAAATGACAACTTTTTAGCCTCTTTGAATGGAAATGTCTGCCTGGCACACATGTATTATGGCAATTAAATAGCAACGCAATTGTACAAGCTTCACGTAGCTTGAATTCTTCATACTGAGTAATTAAAGGTTAAATTTTAAATTCTATATTGTCATGGTAATGAGGACGGTCCTTTTATATGGAAAGACAGGAGTGTAATAGTATGTAGAGTTGTTCATACATGTTGCTTTTTTGCTATTCAGTTCAGGCTTCACACCAAGAATTAATTTTAATTACATGCAATTTTAAAGCCTTGTGGTGAAAATCCATACGTGAAGGTCACTTTGGGCTGTGATTAAAATCATTAGTGTCCATCCCAGCTGCATGTTCTATTGACTTTTCCCATCCTGATTTACATAATTCACATGAATGCTTCTTAAAAAGAGAAAGGAATGGGCGTTGCTCCAGATTTCTCTTGAGTGGCTAGAAGAAATCAAAAATAGCTGCAGAAACATGTTGTTTTGGTACAAGGCTAAGGTGGGTGCTCTGGGTGCTCCGTTTTCTCTCTTTTCTACCTGGAGTGATGAATAGTGTGTGTGTGTGTGTGTGTGTGTGTGTGTGTGTGTGTGTGTGTGTGTGTGTGTGTGTGTGTGTGTGTGTGTGTGTGTGTGTGTGTGTGTGTGTGTGTGTGTGTGTGTGTGTGTGTGTGTGTATGTATGTGTGTGTGTGTGTGTGTAGGGGTGGGTGGGGGGTGTCAAAATGGATATTAGGGTATTTATCTTTGATGATCCAGATGTTCTCACGAGAGGAGCCAGCTCTAAATCTCATAAACAAAACCTCACAGCACACAGGCAGATATTGGGTAATGTGTGATGAGTGGGAGCATCATCTGTGGCGGAGCTGGAGGGGTTGGAGCTGCCCTAGAGAGACTCTTCTCTCTTCTTTCGTCTCCACTTTCCTCTCCTCTCAAACATTTTACTCTCTTGATGTGGCAGTCACCTCATAGCATGCACTGAAGCACACAGCTGTGTCAAATGGAAAGTGGAATGCAGCTGCCTGTCTCATCTCTGCAGCCAGCAGGAGATGGTGTTTTTCTTTTGCACTGGATTTTTACCTTGTGCTTGGGAGGGCTAGGCTAGCCAAGATGGCGCTTCCATCCAAACCCTGGAGATTTTCTCACTAAATGCTACGTGTCAGTGTGTGTTGTCTTGATTGTTCTTTTTTGTTCTTTTTTTTTTTGTCAACGGTTAGAAACAATAGAAAAACAAGGAGCATTCACTGTCAATGCACTACGACTCGATTTTTATCCCTCTTTTTGTGCTCTTTTATAATTTTGTATTACAGTAATGCAGAGCAATTTCCTGCTCCTCCACCCTACTGGTTGAAAGTGGAATTACTATGTCGTAAACAACCCTGCTGTAGCTAGTGCTAACAAAAAGCTAAACTAAAGTAAACCACAAAGTAAAAAGATTCACAACATTTTTTATTACTCACAAGTCCAGTAGCGACAAGGCCAAGTCACAATCTGTTTGTGATTTTGTTGCGTCTTTTAGCTCCCTCGCGTTGTCCATGTCAATGTTCACTCTGATTTTAGCAATTTGCTTCATCTCCAAAGACATTAATTGTTTACGTTTACTTCCAGACTGCGTCATTATGCCAACAAAAAAGCAAACTTCATCTTTTTCCTCTTCTTGTGTTTTGTATTAACAATCGGTGAACTGAAAATGCTGACTGCTAGCATTACAGCTAACAGCCATTAAGCAGGTAAAGAGTGCCCCCTATAGGGCACCTACCCACTCCACAAAACTATCAAGTGTGATTTTTGGTCACCAGAGGACTTCAGAGAGGTGTCATGAAACAGGTCAAGTTTCTTACCAAACAATCGCTGATATCAACTCTAAAGCTCTAAGATGTTCACTAAAAACAGTTTTTTTTTTATTAAATATGATTGCTCACGCAGAGTTTCACATGTATGTTAACTGTGAAAGTGGCCTTCAACCCTTATTTCCTGCTTTAGCCACTGAAAGACAACAGATCTACGACACACTGTAAATTTGCATTCATGGACTCGCTCATCTTGGCTCGCGACTGCAAAAAGCTTTGTCGGTTTAGGGATCAAGAGAGAGCAGAGCACATCTTAGCTAGAAGCTAACCGCATTAGCAACTCCACAACGTGACAGGACACGTTTAGGCTTGTGTTGTTTGTGGACATAAACATTAGTGTTGCATTTTTTACCCAACAAAGAATAACAAACAGAGGAAATTGAAGAATCACTTTGCTGTTAGCCAGTCAGAGGTGAGATTTTCATCCATGATTATTCATGAGTAAGACCCTAATCCCTGCCGTTTTCTGCCCCCACTCCTCCAACTAACTTTTGCTTCCTGAAACGGGACTGCCAGAGATTTTTCCTCTGAAAACTATACTCACAAGGCATTCATTCACGCTAGAGACCACAGTAGATATATTGAAATAACATGTGAATGCTCAATTTAATGATTGTTTTTCCAGATCTTTTGATCTGTTTGTGTCGAAAGACAGACTCTTACTTGTTGTGGACAACTCTTTGAGAGACATCAGTGAAGTAAAACAAAAATGATTTCTGACCGGACAGATGTGCTAACAGCTAGTCAGTTGGTTACAAGGTAGACTGGTGACATTTGTAAACGTTGCAAGTTTTATTACCGTTCATTTGATGATTCTTTACACGTCTGTCAAAATTTCGGCAGAACCACACAATTCTTGCCTGATGGTCAGCTAGCTCCACTGCAAAAATGTTAGAACAGTGTAAAGATTTACAGAACACATTTGCATGAATCACAGTGGCATTCTTCATCTTTAAATAAGAGTTGTTTAAAGTAGGCTTTGGAACCATCCTCAGTCCGATCTTGTCTATCAGGTCAGAATATTTCATTTTCCAAACTGAGGTCGTTCAAACGGGTAAACATTTTATTGTTTGTAACTTTTTATCAAAATATCACATTGAATTTAACAACTTACATTCACTTTTACAAAGAAAGGATTACATATCATATATGGAAAAACTAGAGCCACAAAATTATCAACATAATTTTAACTGAGCACACAATTTTGCTAAATCTGGCTCCCCTCCCTTTTAATAATGTATTCAACAGAGTTGTTGTTTTTTTCACCAGAACCAGATTGTTAAACCTCAGTTCCTCTGGCTAACTAGATATTCTGTTCCTCAGGGCAACTGCGCATTACATCTTACAGTTTGTTGTTTAAATCTTTTAAAACACTGATTTTTAACTATCACAGTTCTTGGTTTTACTCTAAAGAGTGTTGCACATTGTGAATCTTCTTGATTTGACTTTTGCTCATGCAATTTTAATTATATATTCCACAATCGTATTTGATGTTTGCAAACAAATACCTAAAAAGAAGCTGCCATTTCAGTCGAAGGTGCAATATTTATCAAAAGGCTTATTCTTTTTTGGTTTTTGTGTCTTTTATATAATCAGATGACCAGCTTGTTGGCCGCCATGCCCCCGCTGCTCCTTCGCCTTTGACAACGCCGTCTCAGCAGCCACCCACGGCCTCCCGGTCTCTGCTTTCCAAAGTGAGTCAGTCAGGCCTGCGTCCTCCCGGCTTCTCCTCCTGCCGTCTCCCTGCAGGACGCCTCGCAGCCTTCGGTTTCGTCAGGAGCTCCAGCGTCTCGTCGGCCTCGTCAGCCCACTCTGCAGACAGCATGCAGAGTGACCCCTGTAGGACAGCTCACCGTGAGTTCCCTCACAACAACATGACGACACACTTCTTAGCCAAAATGAAATTTTATTCTCTTTCTGTTCATTTTTCAGCTTCCTTTCTTCTAAAAGCCCACTGATCTCTGTTTGTTTTAGCAGCCTTCTGAGAACCAAAGCACAATCATCTTGTCTAGTGCTGTTGAAATTGTACCTTTAATAATGAAATATATACGATTAGACAAAGTTAGTCAGTAACAAATGGCTGGGTTTGGGTCTGTCTCTCTGTCAAACTCTGACATTCTTAGAACATGTGCATCTGTCATCAGTTAGGCAATCTGCTCTTGTGATTCACGATTTAATGAGCCACAACAAAGAAGAGCTTTTTGAGAGTATACATTTAATGCAAATTAGCCAGATTTACTGTTAGGTGGCTGAATTAAGTTGCCGTGAGTCAAAAAAACCTCCACTTTTCTCTTTTTGATTTGTGTCAAAAATGAAAACACAAATGCATGATGTCATTCCCCAAACTCATTAGTAATTCAGGAAGCCTCCAACTGGACCTCTATTGCAGATTCCGTCAACATTTGCAGAGATTTATGGAATAATAAACCTAATAAACCTGCCTCAGAGTGAAACGCATGGATAGACTTCACTTCCAGTCCTGGTGTGGAATCACTCCTTTCTGATTTTAGATTTTCTTGGTTAGTTGGCTGAATTTTAAGGCAGTCGAGTGTGTTTTCCATGTGACCTACATAAGAACTCTGCTTCTCCCAGTTACAGCTGACGTCAGCACTTGCGTTCTCAGCTCACGCACATCAGGCCCCCTGTTATGTCATCGCTCCCTTTTCCCCCTCATTCCTACTTTTTGCTTTATAATTTATTGAAAGTGACTTTGATGTTGGAAAAGCAGAAACATTTAGGCAGAAACTTTAAAATCCAGTGTAGGTGAATCATTTGTAAACCCAAAAATTCAAACATTCTGCAAACTTGCTTTATGAAACTCTGCTTTGATGTTTTAGCAGCTTGTTAAACCTAAACTTTGAATCTCTACTCATCATTGTTGCTACTTTTGTCCACAGTGTTTTCTCTTATTGAACCGCTATTATACCATACCATGCCATACCATGCCATGACATACCATGCCATACCATGCCATGCCATGCCATGCCATGACATACCATGCCATGCCATGCCATGCCATACCATACCATACCATACCATACCATACCATACCATATACCATGCCATGCCATACCATGCCATGCCATGCCATACCATGCCATGCCATGCCATATCACACCATACCATACCATACCATACCATGCCAAATCATACCATACCATGCCATGCCATGCCATACCATACCATGCTATACCATGCCATGCCATGCCATACCATACCATGCCATACCATACCATGCCATGCCATGCCATGCCATGCCAAGCCAAGCCATTCCATACCATACCATACCATACCATACCATACCATGCCATGCCATGCCATGCCATACCATACCATACCATACCATACCATACCATACCATACCATACCATACCATACCAACTTTATTTCTACAGCACAACTTAAGACACAGCGTGAGAGCTTACCAAAGTGCTGAACAGACAAGATCAATTAAAACAAAAGTAAAAACAATAAAAAGATTAAACACAACAATAAAAACTATAAAATCACAATATGATAATATTGAATCACTGTCTAAAAGCCAAGTCATAAAAGTTGGTTTTTAAACAAGATTTAAAAACAGGCAGAGAGGATGCCAGCCTAACTGTAATGGGCAATGAGTTCCAGAGCATGCAGGCAGCATGGACAAACACACGTTCACCTCGTGATTTGTAGGCCATCCGGGGAATGCAAAGCAGTAGACGGTCAGCTGACCTCAACATACGAGTAGGTACATAGGGAGTCAGCAGGTCGGACAGATAAGGAGGAGCTAGGTCATGTAGGGCTTTAAAAACAAACATCAGTATCTTAAAACACACACGAAATGTGATGGGGAGCCAGTGAAGACGTTTCAGGACTGGTGTGATATGGCTATGCCGACTTGTGTTTGTGCCGCGGCATTTTGGACAACCTGCAACCGGTTCAGTTTATGGGCAGAGACAGGAGTTCCAACGAATAATGCATTAGCGTAGTCCAAGCGAGAGGGGATTATGCATTTAGGATTACAATTTACCCAAAATTCAAAACAGTTATTACTCCCACATTCATACATGGACACACTTTTTCCTAAAATTGTGTAACAAAATGAAAAATGTATTTATTAGACTTAAAAGTAGACAGGTAATAGTACACTTCCCCTTAAGTCTTCACTTCATACGCTGCTATTCACTGACTATGCCATTAACATGGGTCAAAGGTAAGTAATACTATTGTAATAAAATTACTTCAGTTATCAATTAAATTATTCGAAATCTAAACAAATAAAACTAAGTCAATATGTCTGATACTACCAGTCGATATCGACATTAAAATGTTTAATTGTTTAGGAAGTACATTAATAAAAAACATTATGAATATATTTAAAAGTAGCAGAACTGCTCATACTTCAAATTGTTTACGTCCTTGTTATGCGGATCTACTAAGAGATGTGCGTTCTTGTGATGGGGTGGCATGCGGCGCCACGACCAGCAGGCTAACGTTTATCTGCACAACACCTGTAGCTACCGGTGCGGTCAGCTCAGTTGCTGCAGAATGAGAATACAGAAAAGTGTTTTATGATCTTTTTCACACAATTCCAATCTTTTCAAAATCACGTGATCAGGCCAGATTTCCACTCACGTCATTGGATCAGAGCATCCGTACATATTACACATCAAACTCTTCAGCTGCTTCTCGTCTCACTCAAAAGGTCAAAGTGCGACAGATCCAAAGTTTAATTTTTGCGATATTTTTGTTTTTTTGTGGTACAACTGACCTAACTTGAATCAAAGTAACTGTGATATTTTGCACAAATACTGTTTAAAGTTTAAGCATGATTGATAGGAGTTACTTAAAATGATTTAGTTTTTCTTTGCGGTATTGGAAATGAGGAGTTAGACTATATTGGTTAATTAAATGTCACCAAAAAGCCAATATTAGTATCTCTAAAAAAATTAATTAATATTCATGTTTACTTTTAGGCCTTGTGATGAATAAAAAGAGTGAAGGCAAAAAGTCATAATGAAAATCTGTGTGTCAGATGAAATAAGGCCAAGCATTTTATTTATTTATTTATTTATTTATTTTTGTTAATTCTGAAATGGATTTGTTGCAATTGGCTAACAAACACACTGATTTCCTTCAGCGACAGATTAGCCTAATTTTGCTGGAATTTTCCAACTAATCAACCACACAAATATCATTATTGTGAAAGGATGAAGAACATGTAGCCCTGAGACCCAAATCTTATCTTGTTCTAAACTCTTCAAATCGTTTTTAGAGACGTGGACATCTGATGAAAACTCTTCTTGGTGATCACGCTTTATATTAAAATGGCTTTATTTCAGTGCAGCAACACCTCCTCGGGTATTTTATTCACAGCTTTGTGAAAATTACTGCTGTGTGTTTGCAAATTACCTTTCCTTTTGATTTTGTTGCTTCTGACCTTTTATCTGAGGTGCTTGAAGTTTTCTTTGTCTACGTTTGGAGATTAAAGCTTCACTTGGCCTTTTCGTGTTAGCGCTTGCAAGCTTGTCTGTGTAGAAGTGTTTTAGTCTCCATAAAATGCATATGTATCAAAATGATTTTTTTTCAAGGGCCTCTACCTCATTGACAGGATTAGTGTCTTCCTCAAAAACCCGCATAAAAGCAACTTCTGTTAGTCTTTCCCTGTCTGCTGTGGCAGCTTTGGACCCTCCCACCACATCCAAACTTGGATCAAAGCGCAGACAGACTGCTGAGATTTGAGTCATCTTTCGATCAGACATGTCAGGGGAGCGGCAGTAGAGGCCCACCCCCTCCTTCTGCAGAAAGAAGGAAGCTGAGCTCCAGTTGCTCGTGTTCCCAATTGATCAGCAGCAAAATGGACTCCTGCAGGCCTCTGGATGATGCAGGCTGGAAAAACATTGAAGGGACGGAAGGAAATTATGCTGGTGGTTCTATAAAGTGGGTCAAAGGAAAAAAAAATCTCTAGAGTATAAATCTATACATCAACCTGGCCAGATGAGTAAGTGCATTTGTGCATAGCAGGTCTATTTTTAAAAGAAGGACACAAGCCCTGCTTCCACTATTGGAATTTTCAGGTCATCTTGCGGGACCTTCGAGATCTACGCGTCTCCATTTCTCAGCGCCAGCCCAACAGGACCACTTTTAGTCCCATTTCAAGGACCAACTTAGTATCTGACCTGTGGTGTGTATGAGTAGAGTTGCTGGGCGGGACTTGTGGTTAACCTATGCTGATTGGTTGTAACTGAGTGGTAAATTATATAAACAAAAATCAACAAACAAACAACATTTGTAAAGTTTAAGGAGTTGCTTGGGAAGTGGAATAGAAGGAAGAGACAATAAACGCTTTCACGTTTCTTTAAAATCACTATTTCTAAACTCCCAGTGCCAAAGAAAGTGGCAGGGAACACCCCCCCCCCCCCCCCCCCCCCCCCCCACACACACACACACACACACAGCACCATATTTCACGGCTGTCGCTCTCCTTGGCCTGGCATACTTTGGCAGAATACTTTTTAAATATTATTAGTAACATGTAATTAATGTTCGTGTACGTCTTTTGTCGCTGATCAGTGACATCACTCACTGCCGAAATGGGCCGATTTTGTATACAGACACAACGGCTGTGAGGACTGAGCCAGCGTATTTTTCCTGACGCCCCTCCCCCTCGCAGAAATTTCATAGCAGAAAAGCAACTATGGTGGGGAAGGAAAGAGGAACCAGAAAGTAGTTCCCCATGAAAAGCATTACATATGTGATGTAGCCCCTCCTTTCGAATGGACGCGTAATCATTGCGCGTTGCGTTGTAGTTAGCCACTGTTACAGTAGATGGGTTCCTTGCCACCACCTGTGAAGTGTCACATGTTGGACGC